TTTCAGTGCCATTCATCGTCTTGGAAACCCCCCGGCAACCAATCATTATCTGTCTGCTGTCCCTCTTCATATTGCCCCCACTCATTTGCACAGTGGAGTTCCCCTGATTGCATTCTTTAACTGAACTAAAAATTAATACACCTCCCTGTCTAACTCTGTCATTGCCCGTACCAACTGGTCTAACGTCTAGCCTCTCTGCCCGCTACTTCAATGGCTAAGTCCTCACCTTCCCAAAATTACGCGACTATTCTCGCTCTGGCTTTACGCCTTCTGGTCGGATCACGCTCACTGCGAACCATACACAACTCTTACAACCAGTAGTCGTCTGTTGTATCGCTTAGCTGAATCTACTGCATACTTGCCAAGGAGAAGCACACCAATAGTGTTTTTTGTGTTCTCATCCTACATAGGCAAACTCAGCTAGTCCTTGGTTGCTAGATCAGTGAGTAAAAAGCAACACTTTCGTAGGTTCATTTAGCCCGTTTAAGGTTATTTTTTTATCTAGTACCTTCCGGCACTCACAAGACCCTACTGATCTCATTCCTTCCTCTTCTCAAGTTTCTAACTTGGCAGTAGCTGCTCCGAACGTCCCATATGGCCACCATTCATTCATTCTAGCTGGTCCCTGTTTACACCCATATGGTCCATCAACTGAATCAAAATTACCTGTAACTCTACATCAGCCTTACTCTAACTGTGTCAACCTGCTTTTATAACCTAGATCCAACCGCTACACGAATGCGCGTCCCCTGTCCGACTGACCTTGACGTTCGTTAAGGGACTGTCCAAAAACCGAAGTATGTCAGCGCAATGATGGCATGGCAGTCCCATACCCCATTTGATGGCACTTTCACAGCTATTTTCTTTTTACTCTCGACCGTCATCTCTCGCCCAATCGAGCCTGTAATCGCAAATACGAACGGTCTAAACAGCCTCTACGACGAGTTCGTTCTAACCCACTGAAAATTTTGTTCGGACTTAAATATTCTATTTCTTAGCTGAAATTTCAGTTTGATTCTTTAACAAGTTCGACAGTTCTACTTACGGTGTTCGTTTAGCCTTGTACATTAGCACTACCCCCATCGAAAATATCTTTTACATCTGACGTCTCCACAACAGTGACACCAATGAGTCTACATAGTTTCAACGTTAACCCATCTGCATTTTTATTTGTACTTTTCGTGACCCTGGCGATTTACTCCGTCATCAGATGTCCCTCATGGCCAGCAGCGATTTTTCAGTTTTAGTTCAAGTCAACTGGCTTCACCATTGAACCATTCTTACCTCATGCCCCATTGTTATAGTAAGAAACGAGTTTCGTTATTTGTAATTTTCTCCCAGTTTTGTTGTTGCCCTCCGCATTTAGG